AAAAAAAAAAAAAAATTCATTTCAAAATACGTAAAAATACGTTAATTACAAAACTATAAGAAAAAAAAAAAAAAAAAATTTTATATTATTTGTAATAAGTGGAAATTTTTTTTTTTTTTTTATTAGCCTCCAGTTTGAACAAGTTAATTAAAAAAAAAAAAAAAACCCAATTCGAAAAAAAAAAAAATTGTTTTTTAAATTTAAATTTAAATTTAAAAAACTTACATAAAATAAAAATAAATTGAAATCATTTTATACGATATGTAAACATTTCTTGTTTGTAATTTTTAAAATCGAAAGTAACAATATAATTTTTTTTATTAAATGATGACAAAAGAAAAAATTTTTTTTTTTTTCCCCATTAATCTCACATAATCCCGAGTTTTTATTATTATTATTATTATTATTATTATTATTATTATTATTATTATTATTATTATTTACACACGAACGTTAAATGTAAAAAAAAAAAAAAAAAAAAAACAATATTTTCTTATTATTATTTTAAATTTATCACGATTAAATAAAAAATTTCTAAAAAAAAAAAAAAAAAAAACAAAAATGGAGGCAATTAATCGTTAGTTACTTTGATATTTTAAATTTAAAATAATAATATTAATAATAATAATAATAAAATATACATATATATATTTGCGTTTCAAAATGGAGTAAGTAATAATTTCACTTTTTAAAAATTTTTCTTTTTGTCATTTTTTTCCACCATTTTTTTTTCCCTTACAAACGTTTCCATATCAAACATAAAAGAAACCAAATAAAAAATTTCTTACTCGATTAGGGAAACTTTCAATTTAAAAAATAAATTAATAATAATAATAATAAATATTTGCATCCAGTCAAACGTTTAAAAAGAGAAAAAAGAAAGTTTTTTTTTTTTTTTTTTCGCGCGCGAGAAAATTCATTTCTATAAAAAATAAATGACGTTTTAAAACGATAAAAGTATGACGAATTATATAGATGATGATGATAATAATAATGATAATGATAATGATAATAATAAATGCTAATAACAAATCATTTTCTAATTATTAATCACGATCGAACGAACCTATCGATACCAATCAATAGATCAATCATATCAGGATATGCATATTTACTTACTTTTTTTTTCGTATGTACCTTCGAACCTAAAAAATTCGCGTAAAATCAATAAAAGGTACGAAATAATATTTTTTTTTAAAACTCGAACCTATTTTTTAAACACTTTAAACAACTTTATTAAATTTTTAATATAAAATTAACCGAGACATTTTCTTTTTCTTTTTTTTTTTTTTTACTATTTCTTTTAAACTCAATATGTGAAAATCCGTTATATCATATCAAACAACGTTTCGACGAACCGAAAAATAAAATAAAAATAAAATAAAATAAAAATAAAAATAAATAAAAATGGAAAAAAAAAAAAAAAAGTAACCGCGTTAACCGTTTATGCCAACAATGACAAAGAGACTAATGTAAATGTGAGAGTGAAGGCAATGAATAAGTGAGTGAGTTCAAAAACCAACCGATCCCTACCGATCGCTTTTTTTTTTTTTTTTTTTTCTATATAAAGAAGAAGAAGAAGAAATTTCTAGAGAGGGGATGAAAGAATTTTCTATATTATTGATAACCCCCTCCCCCCTCCACTCCCCTCCCTTCCACTATTAAAACTTTTACTAATTGTGAAATTGTTGTACAAACGAATTCAGGCCACCAATGAAAATAAATAAATAAATAAATACAACTAACTCTTATATTATTGATTTTATTTTCTTTCCTCAATAATTATTATTTTTAAATTAATAATACTTTACGCCATGATTTTTATTATTAATAATAATAATAATAATAAAAATTTATTAACGTTTCGCGAAAATTCTTCTTTAAAAAAATAAATAAATAAATAAGATGTCATCAAATCTAAACATCAAAACCGTGGTTGTGATGCAATTTCCTCAATTAAGCCTTTTACTTAATTACTTCAGTTAAAATAATAATAATAATAATAATAATAATAATAATAATAATAATAATAATAATAATAATAAAATATTTTTTAACGACAATCAAGGAAGGTAAAATAGATAAAAAAAAAAAAAAATTTTTTTTGAATTATTCTTAAAATATTCTTAAATTTTTATGAATTTTGTCCATAATAATAATAATTACTATACATAGATTTTCAATTATTAAAAAATAGAAATTTATTATTAATTACGTTAATAAATAGAAAATAAAAATATAAAAAAAATTCGGAGTAAATGATTGACCCTTCATATTCTTGGAAATTTTTTTTTTTTTTTTTTACTTTTTTTTTAACTTTCCAATTTTAAACGTTTAAAAAAAAAAAAAAAAAAAAAATTTAATGGTAGTTTTACGGTTTTTTTGTTTTTCTAATGGGCTTTTACATAATGTAATAATAA